GATGGCGGTGCTGAAAGGAGTGTCGGGCTTCGCCGGCCCGGAGCCACCACCGCAGGACGCCGCCGCCGCCACCGCCGCCACATCCCGCCGCAGCAGCGGGGACGGCAGTGAGGAGGTAGGCCAGAGCACCAAACGCGGCGTGACTCCTGCCGGTTCAGCGAACGGTGGCCTCGTCGACGAGACTGCCACGTCATCGCCGCCGCCGCCGCCGCCGCCAACGGCCTGCGTGCCGAGCACAATGACGGGCATCCTCGGCCCCTCCGGTGCGGGAAAATCGTCTCTCCTTGATCTTCTCGCCGGCCGCAAGCGCCGCGGGGAAGGCCGAACCACGGGCTCCGTCTCCCTGGTGTACGATGGCACCGGTAACGGCAACGGCGTCGAAGCGGTGCGCAGGGTAGGGGGGTACGTGTCCCAGGAGGACGTCCTGCCGGGGACCCTGACCTGCTACGAGCACCTCATGTTCCACGCCAGGCTAAGGATGCCGCCCGGCACGAGCTTCGCCGAGAGGGCGGAGCGCGTCCTGTGGGTGACGGAGGAGCTGGGGTTGCAGCGGGTGGCGGACTCTCGCATAGGGGACGAGCTGGAGAGGGGTCTCTCGGGAGGGGAAAGGAGACGCCTCAGCATCGCCACCGAGCTCGTGGCACGACCGGCCTTGCTGTTTGCGGACGAACCGACCACCGGGCTAGGTACGACCGGGCGGGGGGGGGTACAGTACTGCGTGGCGTCGTTGTGGCGAGAATGTGCCAGTCTTGGCTTGTGCTTGACGTAAGTAGCCTTTTTTGCAGGTGTTGAGTGGGCTTGGAGATCGTTTTATGGGTTGACTGTGAGTTTGATGGGTGATTCGTGAACTTCTCTTGCCGCTTGGGTGCTCACGAGTTCGATTGATAAGCGAGGTGTACATCAACACAAGGAACGTCGCTATTCGCAGTAGGCTCACTGCTTCTCTTGCTGATACATAGTGCGACGGATACATGTCCGTGCCCGCTCAGGGTACCGTTGCCCCCCCCCCCCCCCCCTTGACGACTTCCAAAATAT